AGCCCCGCCCCACGACCAGTCGGTCCTACAGGGGCCGAGGCGGGCCCCAGCCTTCCTCCGCCCAGGCGCGGGTGGGCACTGGGGCCTCCCTCTGAGCCAGGTTGCCCGCCCACCCCCAGGGAAGACGCAGAAGCTGGAGACAGTATGGCTGTCCGGGATCTGCCAGAACGAGAAGAACGAGGTGATGAGCAGCAAGCTGGACATCGACAACATGGCCGGCGTCTTCTACATGCTGCTCGTGGCCATGGGGCTCGCGCTGCTCGTCTTCGCCTGGGAGCACCTGGTCTACTGGAAGCTGCGCCACTCGGTGCGCAACACGCCGCGCCTGGACTTCCTGCTGGCCGTCAGCAGGGTGGGTGTCCGCCGGCCCCCACGGGCTGCGAGGGCCTCTGGGAAGGGCATCCGGCAGAAAACTCAGCAGGCTGCCGGCTGCTCAGATACGAACACGGAGGCCCCAAGAGGTGGTGCGGGCACGGCGCCACCTCACACACGAGCACCAGGGCCCTGCTCCACCGCAGGGCGGTACTTAGGGGCAGCGCTGTCCTGGGTTTCAGTCCAGGGACAGGGGCTCAGGAAGCTCGCGCCGCCCACTCAATACGCCCCGCCCGCCCACTGCGCCCCGCCCACCCACTGCGCCCCTCCCACTTGCCCACCAGTGCGCCAGGCCCGCTCAGTGCCCCCAGCCTGCACGCCCCCTCGCTCACTGCCCCATGCCCGCCCACTCACCGCCCCGGCCACTCAGTGCGAGCACCTGTTACTTACATCCCAGGACGCAGTCGCCTGGGCTGGTGCGGGTGGGCGGCCTGGGCGCGGGTGGTCCGGTCTCACGGCCTGTCTCCTCCCTACTGCCCAGGGCATCTACAGCTGCTTCGGCGGGGTGCAGAGCCTGGTGAGTCCCGAGAGGCCGCCCAGCCCGGAGCTCACAGGCGACTCAGCCCAGGCCAGCGTGCTCAAGATGCTGCAGGCGGCGCGCGACATGGTGACAACGGTGGGCGTGAGCAGCTCCCTGGACCGGGCCACGCGCACCATCGAGAGCTGGGGCAGCGGCCACCGCGCGCCCCCGGTGCCTACCTGCCCTGGCCCGCGGCCACCCACTCCCCACCCTCCCCCCGAGCCGAGTCCCACGTGCTGGGGGCCGCTAGGCGGGGGCCGCGCCGTGCTGAGGCGCAAGACCCCGCAGCTCTCCGGCCGCCCCCCGACGCCCGGGCCCCCCCTGCCGGACGTGGCGCGGAGGTGGGCGAGGGCCGGGTGCGGCGGGCAGCACTCTTGGGCCTCAGAGCGGCGCGCGCTCCCAGAGCGCCCCCTGTCTCCCGAGCGCTGCCACTACAGCTCCTTCCCCAGAGCCTGCCGTTCCGGGCGCCCCTTCCTTCCGCTCTTCGCCGCCGAGCCCCCAGAGCCTGACGACCTGAGGCGGCTCGGGCCGGAGCAGCTGGCCCGGCGGGAGGCCCTGCTGCGCGCCGCCTGGGCTCGGGGACTGTGGCCGCGCCATGCTTCCCTGCCCAGCTCGGTGGCCGAAGCCTTCACAGGGCCCAGCTCGCTCCCTGCCAGGTGTGCACGCCCGGAGTGCGGGCGTCTGGCGCAGGCACAGTCCATGCAGCTGCCATCCTACCGGGAGGCCTGCCGGGATGCGTGGGCAGGACCGGCCTGGCCACACAGACAGCACGCCTGCCTCCATGCCCACCTTCCACTTTGCTGGGGCGCTGTCTGCTCTCACCCCCCGCCCTGTGCCAGCTATGGCCCCTGGCTCACTGGAGCCTGGGGGCCTCCAGGGCACAGGGGCAGGACCCTGGGGCTGGGCCCAGGCTACAGGGACAGTGGGGGACTGGACGATGTCAGCCAGGAGGCCTGTGGGGTGCACGGCTACTCAGGGCCTTGCACCTGGAGGCGGATTTCCAGCTTGGAGTCAGAAGTGTGAAGCGGTGGCCACCTGGTTCCCACATAGCTGGACTCTGCCTGACATCCTCTGCCACGAAGTCCTGGCCAGCAGGCTTCAGTGACCAGTGACATCCTCCACTGTCAGTTAGTGACTCGGCAGCCTGGGTCCCGGTGCAGGCTGGGCTCTTGCTGTCCCCATTTCATGTGGGACCCTCCCCCCTGGACTGGAGTCACAAGGAGCTGTGGGGTCAACAGTCCCTGGTCATGGCTGCAGGGCCCTGGTGTGGGGACACAGAGAGGTTGGTGCTTGGCAGGACGAACCTGTCCCGCTCCTTGCTCCAGCGGTGAAATTTCAGAGAACTGGGACATTAAACAGACCTTTCCTAACTCCGGTCCTAGCGTCTCATTCTGTGTCCCCAGAGACCTCACAGCCACGGGAGCATGGAGAGCACCCCAGGCAGGAGTGCAGCTCCCTGTGCGGCAGCAGAAGCCACTTGGTATTCAGCACTAGCTCCTGCCCACCCGGGCGCCAGATGTGACAAACGCGTTCAGCACGGGCTCGGGTGTGATGGATGAAGGCGGGGTTCAGCCTTCAGCCTCCTTGGGAAGATCGGCTCCTGCCGGGGCGGTGGGTGTCCTGCCCACCAGCGGCCCACCCAGAGCCTGGCCATGTCTGGCTGGCCACGACTCAGAATTGCCTGCTGGCTCGCTGAGGCCAGTGAGGTGGCCTGTGGTCGGGTAGGCTGGTGTCAGAGCCCTGTCCGCCATCTCTGTCCACCCCCGCCGGGGCCCCGCTGCATCCCAGGACACCTACAGGCTCTTGGCTGCCTACAGATATGGCCTCACTAATGACCTTCAGTGCTTGCGTGTGAGTGGCTGCCCCTGGCGAGAGCCTCTGCAGCCAGCACCCCTTCCGTTCCTTCCGCAACTCTGACATGGGAGCCTCAGGGCCTTGACTCGCTGCTGAGCGGGTCGGGTGCAAAGTCCTTCACTAGTTGGGTGGAGGACAGAACGCAGGTGGGACACCTGGGTGCCCACTCAGTGCCTCTGTCTCCCACACAGCTTCCTGCTGGCTCCCGGAGAGCTGGGGCCCCTCTCCAGTCTCCTCACCCCACTGTGGGTGCAGGCTGCGCACCTGGAGCTTTGCGGTCTGGTTTTGGCACGGGGCAGCTGAGGTGGTGGTGTGGGGGCACTTCCAGGACTCGCCATTCTTGGCTGGAGGCCGTCCCTGGCCGTTGACTTCACGTGTCAGTATTGTGGGTTCTCAAGGACCCAGGACCAGGAGGCCGGGGGCGGGCAGGGGAGCTGCTCAACAGGTCGAGGGGGGGTCTACAGGGTGGGGTGGGGGGCCTCGACCTCGGCTGCCACTTACCTGGTGAGAGGGGGACCTGTTGGCCGCCGGCCCCTGGGCCTGCCACCTGCTCCCGTCAGGGTCTGAGTGCTGCTCTGGGTGAAGGCCACAGCTTGGAGGCCAGGAGCGTCTTGAGGCCCAGGCTGCTTGCTCTCCGCTCACTGCCCAAGATCATTAATAACCAAGAACCGGAAAGATAATTAAAAGCCGAGTGTGGAGCTGAGCCGGCTGCTGGCTGGCTCTGAAGAGGGCCCCTGCTCCCACGCCAGGCTCTTGGCTGCCTCCCCTTTCTCTAGGAACGTATCCTGGGGAGCAGTGGAAGGAAGTGGGGGACGGGCAGGGCCTCCCACGGGGTCAGAGCCCTGTAACCCTCACCCCTCCGAGGGAGGACCATGGGGCCCTGCGTTACTGGGGATGGCGGAGGCCCGCAGGGCACCTTAAACGTGGGTGCTGTCTTGGTCCCTCTGGAGAGGACACATCCTCGGAGCTCTCGCTTCCCCCACCACTGCCCTCAGGGGGCCCCATCTGTCAGCAGCTGAGCAGCTCGGGGGCACTTAGCACTGTTCCCCCAGGAGGGGGCGTGGGGCGCGCCCCCTATTTCTGAATTGCCACAGGCACTTGCTAGAGACACTGGGCTCATCTGGAGGCTCCGAAGCCTATCAGCAGCCTGGGCCCGGCAGCACGGGGCCACGCCGGAGCAGGGTCTACGGAGCACCTGCAGAGAGCCACGCGCTACTAGCCCTGTTACAGACGGAGGCAGGGGCTGGAGGCCCTGCGGGGCGGCCGGCTTCTGGTCCACACCAGGTCACCACACATCCGGACACTCAGAAGCTGTGGCTTCTCCCTCTTCCAATCTGCGCCGCGAGCCCCAGGCCAGGGAGCAGCATTCACACAGCTGCAGCCTGGGCTCGGTCTGGGGACAGCGTCTCAGTGGCCTCCAGCCCTACTGGCTCTGGGCTGGCTTGGCCTCGCCTTCACCTGCCCACGGTCACGCAGCCCTAGGGCCTGGCCTCACGAGGCCGGGCTCCTCCCCTTGGGTGGATTCCCCACAACCGGGGGCAGCTGCCTCTTCCCCACCACTCTCCTCCTTGGCTGCCTGTTGCCGAGGCGGCTCTGGCCCCGTGCGGTGAGAACAGCTGTGTGGCTGAGGGCCTGGCAAGGGGCCCACGTCCCACCTTCCACCACTCGGCAGTCCTCCCAGCGTGTCACCTGCCATCTGCCCATCCACAGCCTGCAGCCGCCGCTCTGCCTCAGGCGAGGGAACAGCCAGGGGCTGCTGGCAGTGGCCGGGGGCGAGGCAGAACGGGACTGGCACCTTGATCTCCCCGGGCCAGGGAGGTCGGGTGGAGGCCACAGTTCCCCACCTGTACCTGGGCCAGGCTCCGGCCACCCCTCTAGGGACCCCTCTGTAAACAGAAACCACGTGAGCCTGGCTCACAAAAACCAAGTAAACCCGCCCCCAACCCCCCCATCCCCCCCCCAACGTGCTGGGCTCGCGGGGTGAGTGCAATTAGCCTCCGGTTGGGGTCTTCTGCCCTGGCCCAGCTCCCGGCTGTGAGCAGCAGAGTAAGGTGACCCCCACCCCCGACCTCTGGCGGGGGCCTGAAGGCAGGAGCAGAGGAACCAGACCCACGCCAGCCAGCCAGCCAGCCGAGAGGCAGCACCCCGAGACTGGGGCCCCCTGCTGGGAGGGGAGGGGACACACTCCAGAGGCCTCCGCCGGCCCAACCTGGGCTTTATGCTGCTGCTAATAAATTCGAGTCCAAAATTTGGTTTGGCGCCTGGGGCGGCAGGAGGATTTAATTTGCTTTGTCTTTAAGCAAGAGGGAATGTAATTGGAGAAGGGTTAGTACAGATGTTTTAATTGAGTTTTCTGCAAACAGCCGGGCAGCTCAGGGCAGGCACCGCCTCAGGGGCCGGGTCTTCATTTTCTCGGCTCCACGAGAGGATTCCTCCCTCCTCCGCCCGCCCTAGAGCGGGGCCTCCGGGAAGGAGCCAGTGGCCAGTGAGGAAGGGGCTTCTATTTTTCCCGTGGATGACAATGACACGGGGCGCAGACAAAGCGCGAGGGAGAGCAGGCCGGTGAGGCTGCGGGATCCCGGGCGTGGGGCTACACTTCCCGGCGCCGAGGCCACCTCGACCCGCCATCGTCGTTCTGTCCAGAGCATGGAGAGGGTGAGAGGCAGGAGGCTGCGGCCATGGGCTGAGCAAGGCACTGAAATCAAGAGGGAGGGGCAGGGTGCCGACACCCCACCCAGAGGGGCAGCTCCTGGCCCCTTGCGCTGCTGGGACAGGCCCGGGGCTGGCCAAGCCAGGGAGGGGCAGGAGGGACCCTGGGCCCCAAGCGGAAGGCACATTGAAAATGCAGTTTGCCACCTCCGTCTGCAGCGGAGGTGGTTGGGAGGGGAGGCCGCGGCGGGACGGCCTCTCCCACAGGGTGGCGGCTGGGGCTCCATCTCCCCCACGCCGCCCTAAGGACCCGGAGACGTGCACTCCGAGCACCCACAGCCCGCCTGCCTCGGGCCTGGCCTCAGGCAGGCACCCCGAGCCAGGCCTTCCCAGCCTGGGGCAAGGCGAGGGCAGCTCCCCCGGGGGCCCCTGGCCCACGCCCCTGCACTGCAGGAGGCACCGAGGACCCCGCCAGCAGACAGGGGAGCAGAGGATCGCCTCAGGGTCCGAAGCTCCGGGCTCTTGTCCAGCACAGGGCTACTGTCCTGCCCACCCTCGTCAACGTGGGCCAGGAGCCAGCACGGGGCTGCGCCCACGCCAGGGCCCTCGCGGCTCTGGGGCTTTCTGGGCCCGACAAACGTTTCCTGCGCTTGTCTTTGGGGCCGGCCAGACCCTCACCTGGAAGTGACACCGAGGAGGCAGCCTGCGGTCTCGGGTGCTGGTGGGGAGGGGCTAGGCTGGGCTTTGCCCCCCAAAGGGGGGGTCTCCCAGACAAGGATGGGAAGGGTCTGGAGGGCAGGCGGAGGGGAACATGGGTATAAATAGAGGCAGTGCAGGACTGGGGCTCCCCCTGCTAAGCGGGGCACCCTGGAGGGGTATAGAGCACAGGGGTGGCTCAGGTGCTGAGTCCTGGAATCTGGAGCAGCCTGGGCCTGGGCTGCATAGCCCAGCTGGCCAGGGGCGGCCCCGGGCAGGAGGCCCCGTGGGAGAAGACCCCCAGCTCTCGAGGCAGGGGCCCCCTTACCCCCCAGAGGCGAGGCCGGGAGGCAACAGGTCTCGGCTCTGCTGTCAGACCTTGCTCTCGCTGAGGACGATGTTGGCGGTGACGAAGAGGAAGCAGGAGAAGGCCCAGAAGAGCACGAAGCCCACCCAGAAGGTGTGACGGAACGGGGAGCGGTGCTTGTTGACCGCCTCGGGGCCGAAGGCCAGCTGGGAGTCCTTGCGGCAGAGGTGAACCAGGAAGGCGGGGATGACATACTGGATGCCCGTGCCCGCGTACGCCCCCGTGATGCCCACCAGGGACTCCAGGTCGTGGGTGCAGAAAGCCACCAGCACCGGGGGCAGCAGGGTGATGGTGGGGAACACCACGCGGTCCACCACCCAGGGGTACGTGCCCCCCTCACGGTGGAAGAGCGTCTTCCAGTTGTTGCGGAGGGTCACGGCGATGATGGGGAAGTTGGTGCTGATGGTGAAGACGGGGAAGAGGCCCAGGAAGTAGCGCACGGCGGCCACGCTCACCACGTCGCAGCGCGCGAAGTTCAGGGTGTACATGTCCAGGAGGCTGTCGCCGCGGAAGCAGAAGATGGCGGTGAAGGACAGCAGGCTGTAGAAGGCCAGGATCAGCACGTAGTTCATGAGGACCAGCCGCGTGAGGTGGCGCTTGCAGGACACGGGCGTGACGAGGGAGGGCAGCGAGTGCTGGCACATGAAGGAGTACACGCACACCCCGAACAGGTTCCGGACCCCCGAGAGGCTGGCCAGGGGCGGGTGCCCCTCCCCCTGCCCGTGCCCGATGCGCACCAGGGCCAGCACGATCATGATGGCGAAGGCTGGAAAAGGAGGGGGCGTCAGAGCCGCGCAGAGCAAATCCGCGTAACCCCGATGACCACGCTCTGGGCAGGTCGGCCACGGTGCCCTCCTGGCCCGTCCACCCTGCGCCAGCGGGGAGCGGCCCCTGGGGCGGGGCGGCAGGAGGGGAGGGCTGGGCACGGCCATGGGCAGGGGGCCCGCACCGAGCTCTCCGGCCGCCCAGCTCCCTGTCAGCCCGGGCTGCCAGCCGGCCCCGGTTGGAACGACATGCCTCGGGGAGCGGGGGCTGGAGGGGAAGGGGCCCAGGAGCCCCTCAGCGGGCAGGAGAGGTCACTGCCGACATCGGAGGCTCAGGGCTCCGCCTGGGAGAACCCCTGACTGGGTGGGAGGCCGAGTCACACTCCCCGCCGACTCACGGCTGCCTCCCCACACCCGCTGGGGCCGGCGGATGGAGACGGCGCCTACCACCTTCACCAGGGGCAGCTGCGAAGATTGCCAATGGAGGAGATGATTTGTCTCTGAGTCTCCAGTCCCTGGCTCTGAGGGCCGCTCCAGGGACGTCACCGATCTTCTAGCTCTGGTCAGTGGAGGGGAACGCAGAGACCCAGCTCCTCCCCGGAGGCCTCAGCGGGAGCCGCCTCCGGCTTAACCCTCGGGGTGGAGGAGGGAGTGACGGGGCCTCCCAACCCTGGGGACCCCGACAGTCGGGAGTGGGAGCAGGGCAGAGACCTGTGTGGAAGAGGGGCCGCAGGAAGCCTTCGGCGCAGGGTATGAGGGGGGCCGCTCGGGACAGGCTGGGGCAGCGGGGCGCCCCGGTGCCGGGGCGTCCTGAAAGGGTTACGGAGCAGCAGAGTGGAGCCAGCAGCCGGGGTGGCGACAGCTGGCAGAGCAGGGGCCCTGGGGTGTCCGTGGTCAGCTGCTCCAGACACTGCAGCTGACCGCCCTGCGGCCTCAGGTCGGGCAAGGCAGGGCAGGGGGTGGGGCAGCTGCTTAAGGCGTCAAACCCTGTGTGCGCTATCGTCTCGGGGCGTCTCACGGGACCTGGTTCTGCTCCGGACCTGGCCCAGGGCTGGAACGACGCAGAGAGGCGCCTGCGGGGTCCCGGTGCGGCTCGGGCCCAGGGCTGGCGAGCCGAGGGGGCGCGAGGAGCCTGGCTGCCGGCCGTGAGCACCCTCGCCCCTGCTCTCTGCCCCAGACTCGGGCTGGGCGTCTCTGCGGCCTCCCTCCTCAGCCCTCAACTGCGGTGCTAAGAAACGCAGGCGGAAACCGGTCTGCTCGCTCCAAGACCAGCCACCGGAGGCGTCCCTGGCCGCGAAGAAGCGAAAACAGGGCTGGTGCTTACGGCGTGCGACCCTGCCCCGTGGCGGCACGAACAGTCCACGTGGCTGCCGCCGTTTCCTGGCTTGCAGGGAGCCTCAGAGCCGCGGCTACGGGACCGGGAAGTTCACTACCTGGCTGCATTCGCTTGCTCCCACCACGCCCTTACTCATCCGATTCTCAAGTCTATTTCCAAATCCGAACCCCGGCCTGGGCTCGGGGCTGCCCAGGAATAGACGCCTCTGGGAGGTGCGCCCAGGCCCTGCTCCCTCCCGGCCCGCGGAGGGCAGGCTGATGTGGGGGCCGAGCCCCACTCCCACAGCTGGGCCCTGCGTGTTGTGGGGGACATATTTCAAAGGGCAGAGTGCAGCCTCCGAGCTGGGGCGCTCTCCCGAGGGGGCCGGGAGGGGTGCAGCCGGGGCTGGGGGTGCGGGCGGTTCCCTGAGGATGAACCCCGGCCAGCCTGGGGAACAGGCAGGTTCTTCGGGGCATGTGGGGCACTGGGCCATGACCTCTAGGGTGGAGAAGGCAGGGAGGGGGGCCTCTCGGTCAGCAAGTTCAGGAGCAACTAGTGACCCCTGGACACGGTGCTGCAGAAGGACAGAGCAGGGAGGGAGGGAGGGAAGCAGGAGGCGGGCGGCCATGACCTTGAGCGGCACCGGGACTGGAGGCAGCCGCAGTAGCTCAGCGCCCCTGCCAGGACCACCTCAGCGACCCTGCCGGGACAGCCTCAGCGCCCCCGCGGGACCATCTCCCGGGCTTCCCCCACCCACACCCAGCGTAGAGGAGCAGAGTTCACCAGCCACCTCCTAGACTGATCGCCCGTCCCCGGGAGAGAGCTGCTCTGAAAACTCATTAGGCCTGATGATAAATCAGGATGAAACGAGGATGACAGCTGTGAGCGACACTGCCGGGAGCAGGTGGGCGCCGGGCGGGCCCGGGGGACGGCCACAGCCGAGCCTGCCGGCCACGGCCACCTGCCGGCGGAGTGGGGGCGGCGCAGCAGTGAGCGCCCGCTGCCGGCGCCGTGACCAGCCCCTGCTGGGCCCTCGCAGGCCCTGTCGGGAGCCCCTGGACAGCCGTCTGGCTCCACCCCACCCGCAGGCGAGAGGCACCCCGGGGCGGAGGCGGCAGGGGCCGGCGAGGGCCGAGGTCGGTGAGGCGCTCAGCAGGGACGGGGTCAGTAACGTCTCCTAGCGAGAACGGAGTCACCCTTGCCCCAGCGCGGTAACTCGCGGCCTCGCCAGGCTGCCCAGCCGGTGCACACGGCCCGCCGGGGGGCCGGCAGTGACAGGCGACAACGTCCGAGAAAAATGTCACGGGGGTTCAAGCCACATCAGCGGACAGAGCAGACGGGGGTCTCCGCGCAGGGAGGGTCCGGGCAGCGGACCCTACTCCAGAAGGGCCTGCGGGGCCGCCCCCCTGCGCCTGCCCCCCTCGCCAGCACAGACCCTCAGCCCGGCGGACGGCGGAGAAGACGGCGGCCTTCCCTTGGGAGACAGGAGGAAAGCACAGCCCAGGCCAGGGACGCCCGGGGCCCGGGCTCACGTCTGGCGAGGGTGTCGGGTCGGTGGGGCCTGTCGACACCCCTCCCTCGCGGACCGGCACAAGTCCGAGCGCAGAGATCGCGGGGACATTTTATGTCAAGATGCATCCTCACGACCTTTAACGCGTCACCAGTCAGGCTCCGGGGCAGTCAGAAGTGGCCTCTGGGGCGGGCCTCACGCCACCTGCCGATGGGAAAAGCCCCAGCCCCCGCCCGCCGCCCCCCGTGCGGGCTGAGTGAACTCCTCGGGCTCTCTGAGCACTGGCCTCTGCGGCCCCCACCACAGCCTGGTCGTGGTGCTGGGCGCCCTGGCCTGGTGGGGTCACCTGGGCGCGGGCCTGTATTTGGAGAAGGGGCCTGTAAAGAGGTGACCACAGGCTAAATGAGCTGGCAAGATGCACCCCGACCCGACAGGACCGGAAGCAGGTCCCCTCTCCAGGGTGGGGGAAGAAAGAGAAACCACCATTAGTCAACCCTGGCGGCGCCCGGACCGTGGACGTCAGTGTCCAGGGCCTGGCTGCCTGCCTGCCCCGGCTGAGTCCTCTCTCCAGCGACGGCGAGACGGGCGAGACCCACACGCGGTGGGAAGGGAGGTGGCACCGTGGCCTGGCGTCCGACACCGGAGCGCACGGATTCCGAGCTCAGCTTTGCGGGGTCACCTGCGCCTGCGGCCGGCTGCCCGTGATGAGGTTTACCCCACCCCCGGGCCTGACTGGGGCAGCAGGGGTCCCATCTCACTGCCAGGTCAGCCCCGGCCACAGCCACACGTGGACGGAACAGCAGGAGCCGTGGCTGTGGGGTGAGAGCGGCCGGAGGGTGACGGCCAGCGGGGGGCATGCGGGCACTCAGGTCAGCCTGCCGCTCGCCAAGGGCGATTTGGTGGCGCCCGGCTGGCTCCTTTGCACACTTCAGTCAGTGTCCACTGCAGCCCCAGAGACTTAAGACAGAGACCCCGGGTCCCCATCTCATGCCCTGGCCTCTTTGTCTGCAGAGGAACTTTTAGAAAGCTGAGAATAAAATGAAGACCCACGATGAGGCTTTGCCACGCTCGCGCTCCCAGCACCAACCCTGAGGGAATGTGGGCACCCCAGGGCCCAGGAGCCAGGCTGCTGGCGGAGGTGGGCAGGCACCCCCAGCCCCTGCAGGCCCGGCCGCACCCCCCACTGGGAGGCACAGGGGCTGCTGCACTGCGGGAGTCATTCTGGGGACAGGCCAGACCCGAGAGCCTCCGTGCCCGGGGCGGGGGGGTCCTGCGGGCCTTCTGCCCGCCGCCACCGCTGAGTCCAGCTCTCCCTGCCCGCTGGGTTTGGAAGACAAACCTGGGGCTCACCCCAGGGGGAGGTGGGGGGCAGGGCCGGCGACCCCACCAGGCAGCCTCAGGTGGGTGGCGAGCGCAGGGGGCGCCTGACCCACTCTGAGGGGAGCAGACAGGAGTGATGTGAGCGCGCCGCTCTGCCAGCACCATCGGGAGGCTGTGAGGACGTTTCTTTAATGACCCCAGTGGGGCGCCCCGAGCTGAGCCAGCTGTGTGTGTCCCCAAGTGGGAGGTGTCTGCTGATGCTGCCGGGAAACTTGGTGACAGGAGTGGAGCTGTGGGCCCCTCCGGCCCGAGCTCCTGCGGGCGGGCGGTGTAGACGGTCACAGGCGAGCTGCCCGGAAGCTGCTGTGGCCAGGCCTGGGGGCGCCAAGGGGTTTTGGCTGTGCCTCTCCAGAGTGTCCTGGCCCACTGGCAGCTGACAGGGCTAAGGGGGAGCCCCGGCCCCTGACCTCCGCCTGCTGCCCCTTCATCCCAAGCTCAAGCCTCCTTGGAGGCTGGGTGGGCGCAGGGAGGGCTGAGGGGAGCAGACGTCGTGGGGAGGGGTACAGGGTGAGCAGCTGGTGGGTGTGGTGCCAGGGCCAGAGGAGAGCCGGTGCCCATCTGCAGTGGTCACCGGGCATGAGGGGCTGGGTGGCACAGGGGACAGGTCTGCTCGGGCCGGAACGAGTCCCACAGAGCCTTGGCCGATTGCCCCGTCACCCACGACCAATCTGGGTGGCAGAAGAAATCAGCAGTGGTACGTGTCCTCCGCGGCCTGGCCTTTTCCTGGACAACATGCTATTGGCAAGGGCCACCTAACTCCTGACACCCGTCCAGGCGGCACCCAGGGGGCTGGGGACAGCGAGATGGAGGCAGGCACAGCAAAAGGCCATCAAGGAGCGAAGCGGCCAGCAGACCCCTCAGCGCGCCCTGGCTCCGTGGGGGCCGGGGTGCACGAGTGCCCTGCTCGCTTCAACAGATGGCAGAACAAATTCCTAATTCAGCACAAGAAAGTTTCCGGCTCAGCACATTTATTTATGACTTTCCGGTCCCTCGGGTGCTCAGTCCTCCCCTTCGTCTTGCGAGAATTCGAGCTAGCTGCCCGTTCAGCCCTCTGGACAGTCTGGGCCCTGGTCCGGCAGGGCAGGTGTGGGAGTGTGAGACAGACCTGTCCCCAAGGGGCCGGGGGCGGTCGGGGAGGGCTGGGCCACACCCAGCTGCTTTTCAGAAGCAAAATGCAAAGGGAGCCGGTGGGACAACAGGGTGTGGACCTGAGAAGGCCGTAGGGCTCTGGGGCTCACCTGGGGTGATTTTGGGCTAGAGGAGAGACCCCCCCACACACCCAATGCCCTTTAGATGGCCTACAAACGGTCAGTGGCAGGGCCCTCCCTGGTGGTACAACAGGTTAAAGCACTATGAAGCTGGCCACAGCCCCTGCAATGCAAGTTCGATCCCCAGCCAGGGGGTGACCCACAGGGTGCAGCAGACCTCTCCTGTCTCCCCGCTGCTCCCCTCAGCAGTGGGTTTCAGTGGCTCCACCTGTCCTGCTCCCCAATCTGTCTCTGGGGAATCCTCTCATCCTCTTGCACCTCTGGCCTGCACCCCAGTTCTTACATGCATAAATAAATACATCTTTCAAAGCAAAACAAATGGCCAGTGGCAGGCCCTGGTCACTCCCACAGCCAATGCATGTGGGGGCTTCCCGAGTCCCGCCCCCCCCCAGGGCCCCAGCTGCTGTGGGCAGGATGCTGGACACACCTGCCGCCAGAGCAACTGAGAAGAGGCCCAGGTGTTTCCAATCCCCCTGGCTGGACCTGACCGCAGGCTGGGCTATGTTTTAGGTTTCACTGAACAGGGCCATTTCCCTTCCACTTAAGAGAACTCTGGGTCACAGAGCGGGTGACCTTTCAAGCCCGGAGGTCTGAATCTGTTCTGGAGAAAAATGACTGCATGCGGCCCCCAGGGGCACGGAGGAGGGGTCTGCCATGTGGCTATCTCCCTGATCAAAAGGAGAGCCAATGATGTTGACAACAATGTCACCCAAAGTGCGAGCGTGGGCAACCCTCAGTGGCCAGTGACCCCTCGAGCCCTCTCTGCCACCAAGCAACTGTCACGGCCGCCACCACCTCTCGCTGCCGGGGGCTACCTCAGGCGGGGAGGCCGGCTGCTCCCCCTCTGTGGGGCTCTGGCTGGGAGACAGAGGCGCAGATGGGGTCACCCGGGGCTGGCGGCCGGGTTTGGAGCTGAGCGTCTGTGTCCTACAGCAACAGAGCTGCCAATTCCCCCGAAAGCCTGGCCTGGGGGAGAGGCTCCCCAGCAGCATGGAACGCGGGCAGCGCCCCTGCAGGTGGGGCCGAGTCCCACCGGGGTTGGGGGTGCTGGGGTTCGGTCCTCAGACCATCGCTCTTTATTTACTGCCCTCTACCATCTCCTCCCTCTAATGAGCGGAGACCAGACGCCAGGAAGTCGTCACGCGGCACCGGCAGGGGCGTTATGGAAGCCGCTGTCTGTCATTACCCGGGCAGCGAACCCCCCTGGGCCGACCCGGCGCCCCGCGGAGGGAGCGCTGGCAGCGGCCACTTCTGCCCCTCCCCCCGGCCCTCCCGCTGCCCCGCTGCCCGGGGGGAAGCGAGCAGAGCTGGGGCCCTTCCACCCGGCACACGCAGGGGTCCCCCTGCCAATCCGGGGGGGCGGCCCAGGGCCAGGACTCGGGTCCGGGACGCAGCCAGCCAAGGAGCTCAGGCCCAGCACGGGGCCAGCGGAGCCGGGAGGACGTTTTCCTCCCACCCGCTGCACAAGAAACTCCTCGACGGTCACGGGCTTTCACATACTTCCTCTAAAAAAGCTGGCCACGGGGGAGCAGGGCCGATCCGGATCCTGACTGCTGATGCGCGCCCTCGTGCCACCCGGGAGGTACCCTGAGCGCCCGGCGGCCCTCGTGTTCCGAGTCGCACGTTCGCGGTTAACCCAGGGCTCGGGGCAGGTGAGCCAGATGTGGGGAGGCGCCCCGCAGGGGGTACGGGGTCAGGCAGCAGGAGGGGGCACACGGGCGTCGCACCCCATGCTGGCACAGCACGGTGTCCCCTGCCCTGGCCGGGCGATGGCAGAGGCCTGGCAGCCACACATCGGGTGCAGGGCCTCCCCTCCTCTCCTCCAGGAAGCTCGTGGGCAGGTTACAAGGTTCAGGCTTTGACTGAGCACAGGGCAGAGCTTCCTGGCAGCGACCGACGCCCCCGCAGAGCACAGCAGCCCCCCCCGCCCCCCGTGAGTCCCTGGGTTTCGGTGGGCTGCAGTGTACCCCCCATGGGGAGCAGCGGCCGGACTGTGCCAATGCCACTGGCCCTCTCACTGCAGACACCAGGACTCCTGGGCCGACCCCGGGAAGCACCTGGCCCGACACGGCCTGGGCGCGCAGGTCTGGAGCCGCGCACAGTGGGCGCAGCGTGGCTGACCCAGGGCAAGTGCACTGGGAAAGGGGCCTGGGGAAGAGGGGTTGGGGCGGGGGGTTCCAAGCTCGGGTTCCCGTGAGCTGAGGGGCAGGCGAGGCCCCAGGAAACAGCCCCCCGGGACTCCTGGGGCTGGGCTGACCCTGCAGGCCCCTGACCGGAACCACTTGGAGTCTTCTGCTGTCAGACCTAAAAGGTGTCAGCTGATGCCCAGAGCATGTGCTGGCTGGTGTGTGTGGGGGGAGGGGCAGGGACCCCATATCCTCCTGTCCTGGGCCTAGATGGGTCAGCGGCTGGTCCCTGGGTGGGTAGTGGGATGGTATGGGGGTGTAGACCCCCAGACTTCTCCTGAAGACAATGACACTCTTGCTCAGTGGGGTGAGTTGATATTTGCCAGGGGTGTGGGGGGCCAGGAACACAGAGGCGACCCCCAGGGAGATCTGGGTTTATGGCCGAGGACCGTATCTGCTAATCTCACTTCCCGGAGGGAGCACGCCCGGCCCAGGCCTTCATGAGCCCAGAGTGGGGGTAGCTTGGCACCTGGCTCGATGTGCCAGGGTCAGGAGTCCTAGCCCCAGCGCCGACCATACTCCCCAAACTTGAAGTCGCCCTTCAGTACCAAATTTCCATGCCAGTAAGAGGGCAGGCAGAGTGCCCGCCACCACCCTGCCCTCTGCAGGCCCCGAGCCCCGCCCGCGGCTGCCAGGAATCGTGGTTCTGACTCACCGATCCACCGCATGAGCGAGGTCAGGATCTGCAGGTATTTGGTCTTCTGGACATCGAAGAAGGTGAAAGGTCCCAGGAGGAGAGTGAAGACAGCCTGGGGGGAGAACGCGAGTGAGGGGCGCAGAGGCCAGGCTGCAGGCACCTGCTGCTGTGGCTTCTGTCACAGGGGCCTGACCAGCAGCCCAGGTCAGTGGAGGGTCCCTGAGCAGACAGCTCTGGGGGGGGGGTCACAAGTGCCCTGACCAGGAGCCCCAGATGGTGGACGGTCCCTGGGCAAATAGCTCTGGGGGGGAGGTCACAAGTGCCCTGACCGGGAGCCCCAGATGGTGGACGGTCCCGGGGCAAACAGCTCTGGGGGGGGGAGGTCACAAGTGCCTTGACCAGGAGCCCCAGACAGTGGACGTCCCGGGGAAGACAGCTCCGGGGGGGGTCACAAGTGCCCTGACCAGGAGCCCCAGACGGTGGACGGTCTCGGGGCAGACAGCTCCGGGGGGGTCACAAGTGCCCTGACCAGGAGCCCCAGACGGTGGACGGTCCCTGGCCAGATAGCGGAGTCACGAGTGCCGGGGGCATGAGGGCCAGAGCCTCCCTCTGCCATGCTCACACTGGCTGCCCAGGGTCACTGGGCCAGCCTGGGGGTGGGCCTCAGGTTCCCTTCCCGCTCTTCAGCAGATGCTGGCTAAGAACGCAGGGCGCGCTCGGAGCTGGGCAAGGACAGGGGACAGGCCCGAGAGGGCAGGAAGACGAGGATACAAAAGAAAGAGCAGGCTTGCCGTGGGCCCTCTGGGGTTACCAGAAGAAAGGACTAGGGGCGGGGACATCGGGTCGGGGGACATTGTTTGAAGGGCTCACTGGGCAGGCAGGGTTCATCGAGGCTGGTCAGCCAGATCCTCTGTAACTTAGAGGCGAGCAAGCCCAGGGAGAGCCAGGCGCTGTCAGGGCAACTCAGCCAGGAGAGGCCCCCGGGCCCAAGGGCAGGTCTGCCCAGGAATGCTGGGCATGGAGAGGTGTAGGGAGCCGGTGCTGGCCAGCACTGGCCCTTGGTCTGCCCCCTTTGGAGAACCAGAAAAGCAACTGCTCACTGTACAGAAAAATAATAAATCAAACGCTGCCTCGTAAAGTGGTGTATAGAAAACATGAACCCTCTGCAAGAGAAAATGGGGGTGAACGTGGCCCAGTGGAAGGGGGCTGGGAACCGAGGGTAAGTTGGGGTTTCCATGCCGGATTGGCTGCTCAGGGAGCAGAGAATTAGGAGCTGCTGGTTGGAGTGGCGATGATGGGACCATTTCCAATCTGCCACTCGGAAGCCGCAGAGGCATCAGACTTATTAACATTTACACTGTGCCGTTTTATCACGTTAATGCTAATGGCACCGGAGAGCTGCCGGCACAGAGCCCGATGGTGGGAGCACCCACTGGGGGCGTGGCCCTGTGATGGGGTGAACACATCACAGCTGCTCAGCCTGCAGCCAACCGCCCCCCCCACTCAGCAGCAGGCAGAAGCTCTGAGGGGCTGGCCTGTCTCTCCCCCTCCCCAGGAAGGAGAGCAGGATGCAGAGAAGCTGTGACCTCTATCCGAGTCCATTATCACTGCAGAATGAATGACACAAGTCTAAAGTGCAGCTTAAGGCAAGGCTCTAATTAGCTGGGGTGGGTCGGGCCTCCTGGCAGCCGCCAGGGCTGGGAGACTTCTGGAAAGAGCTTCCTGCCGGGGCCTCAAAACCAGCCAGGTTCTGTTCAGAAGCCTTTTCTTGTGGTGATGGGGGTTGGGGGACAGAGATGGGCTGTCCTGGGAGGGCAGGGCAACCCCGGAGGGTCCGAGGTCAGAGGGGCCGGGGGCACGGGCCCACGGATCTGCGGGGTAAGTGCCCGCGGCCCCATCACCGCGTCATTTAGGAAAATTACCACTTCAGGAAACTTTCCACTGATGAATTTCTCGTTGGAAGGATGGCAGAGGGAGATGTGCAGAAAACAGACACAAAGCCACGCGTCACCAACGTGTCCCGGTCACTGTGTCTGCTGGAACCTGCACTCGGGGTGCCTGGCACCGAGGCATGGCAGCTGTGGGGGTCACAGGCCCAGGCGGCCTATGGGAAAGGTCGGCTCCCATCTTCTGGAAGGTTCTATGCGCACCCTTCCGGAACAGATGCCCCTCCCCCATGCGTGGGCCCTTCAGCACCGTCACCCTGAGGCCCCGGCCTGTGAGCTCACCCTTCTATGCTAAGACCCCAAGCAGGAGTATGCAGCGCAGAAAGGAGAGCAAGCAGCTCCCGGGAGATGCCACACACGCCGGCCTGGCCTGCACCCCGCACTCCGGCTGGGTCCTGAGCCGGCTCCCACCAGGTGCCCGGGGCCAGCTCAGCACAGCTCACTGCAGGGGCCAGGGCTGCCCACTGCCGCGGCCAAGGGCGTGTCTTTAAAACTAGGCAAAAGCCCCCGTTCTTGGGTTTCTGATGAAATCTCAAACTGGCCCCTGGGAATAAGGTCTGAGACAGTCGTACGGGGGCACAAAGTGGCTGCCTGAGTCGCTCCTGGGGTCGGTGAGTTTACACGTGAGCCCAGGACGCCCCGGCAGCCCTGCCCATCAGGATGGCAGGCCGCTCCCGTGCCCAGGCACCCCGTCATGCTGGTCCCCGGTTCAGGGCCCTGGGGCCCCTGGGAATGGAGCTCAGCCCAGAGCGCCGCGTGCAGGCTAAGGGCCCCCCGCGGCCCGGGCTCTGGGCTGGCAATCCCCACCCATTCCCTGCTCTCTGCCGCAGGCCCGAGGGTGCCGAGACCCCTAGCCCTGCCAGGGTGGGCCACGGGCGAGGGGGGCAGGTAGAGGTCACACCAGCGTAGGACTCGGGTAGACACGGGGGAGGGGATGGGGAGATCGGGACTGGCCCTTGGGGGATCTGTCCTGCCCTTGTGTCCCATCCAGAGCCCGGAGCCGGGGGGCCCTGGCGTCTCCCCACACTCAGTCCTGAGAGGACAAAGCCCACTGGCCCCAGAACTGGGTTCCTTTACCAAGCGTGGCTGAGATGCCACCCAGAGCTCAGTGCAGCAGCCCGGACGACCGAGGTGCCACGTGCCCGGTGCCTTCGCGCCCCGGGCCTTTGCCTGGTAAGCTCTTCCTGCTCACGCTCACAGCCCAGCAACTGCGCTGCGAAGTTTGCTCCTCCGCCAGGGGTGCTGGTGCGCCCGCTGGAGCCAGAAAGAGCTGAAGCCTCAACCCCGTTTGCCCGCTCTGGCTGGGCCAGCTTCTCGTCGGAGCTGGGCTCTGTGACCTGCAACGCACCGTCCGGCTCGGCCCCCTAAAAGGGGGGTGTGTGGGGGGCGAGGGAACGATGCTCAGTGATAGCGCCACACAGGACACACCCGAGACTCAGCAACCCCACGTCCCAACGAGCCCACGGGGCAAAGGCCACACACGGGCAAAGACCACACCCCGACAACGTGCCGGGCCACGTGACGGCAGAAACACCCCAGGAGAGCCCACGGCCTGACCTGCAGCCCCGCCTCCCCCGGGGGCAAGGGGCTGACGGGCGGCCTCTGTGGGGTTGTGGCCGAGAGCTTGGCATGAGGCAGCCGTGCTCAGAGGACCCTCAAGTTATTGACGTTTCTGAAACCGGGGGGCGCGTTTGCTTTGGGCTGCACAGTGCAGGAGCTGGAGCTCCCAGGAGCCTGGAGTCAGGCCCAGCGGCTTCTCTGCAGCCACTGTCCGGTGCCCTCAGAGTGGCGACACACAGGCCAGCAGGCCCAGGGCGCAGCGCCCTCCCGCTGGAGTCCGGCGTGCGTGTGCTGCTGCCCAGCCACCGCTGCTCCCGAGGCACGTCCCGGCACGTCCCGGCACGTCTCGGCACGTCCCGGCACGTCTCGGCACGTCCCGGCACGTCTCAGCACAGCGCGTGGCCGTGACCCCTCTCCCGACACACGGACCCAGGGGCGTCACGCGGCGTCACGCAGAACCTGACAGGACCGTCCCGAGGGGGCCGTGGCCCTGCGAATGTCAGCGAGAGGTGGAGAGACCCGGTGGCCTCCCGCACGCGCGGCCCGGGGGCGGCGTGGGAGCCAGGCTGCCGCGGAGAGGCGCCTGGGGCTGGGGCCGGGCGCAAGGTCTCGGACGGTTTCGCGCTTTCTGTCAAGCGACAGACGCCAGTCCGCACGACGGGGCTGTGCTCGTGGGACGCTGGGGGTTAAGGGTTAATTGGGGTTCATCGCAAGTCAGCACGAACTGGGGCCCAAGCGGGGACTGAACTTTCAGCGCGTCCTTGAAGTGCGGCGAAGGAATGTTCAAGGATTCTATTTTTATTTCTCAAGTGGCTGTGCAGATTTCGGCTCCGGAGCTTTATTTTCCCAACCTGAATCACCATGTCTGGAGACTCATCCCCCAGAAGGAGGCGAGCGCTGAGGCTGTGGGGGCCGGAGAAGGCCAGACCCGGCTTCGGGGCCAGACACAGGTAGGGCGGGGCGTGTGCACTGGTGCCCTGGCCGACTGGGAGATCCTGTGACGGCCAGCGACGGCCATCGGGTGCCCTGCGGGTGTTCAACAGGCCCTTGGCCCCGTGTCAGCGCTCGGTGTGGCAGGGGGGAAGTTGGGGGCCACACGGGGCCTCCGGCCAAGAGCTTCGGGGCAGCACCGTGCTCACTGGATGTCCTGGACCTCCGCCCCAGACTGCCAGGGTCCCCACTCGCTTTGGGGAGCTCAGGTTAGCCAGGGAGGAGCCGGTGCTGGGGCCGAGGCTGTGCGGGGGGCCGAGCCCGGGGCCAACTCGCACTGCCTAAGCTGAGACGCCACAGGGGCGGCCACACTGGCCAGAGCGCTGCTGGACTACCCACGACAGAGGCCCTGCCCCGGGGGCCGCACAGCCCCAGACAGCGCTTAGCTGGTGAACGACTCCCGGGGCGGCCCTGGAGGCAAGGCTGCCCCCCTCGCCCAGCCCCACGTCCAGAGCCCTGTGGCCACAGGGCTTTCGTCCTTGGCCCACCCGGCCCTGTCCAGGTGGCGCCGAGGTACCTGAGAGATGCTGGCTGAATGGATGGAGACTCCGGTGACCCCTGGCTGGCAAAGATGCACGCACCGCTCAAGCATCAGTACAGACCCTGCTGTTCTCTC